GGAAACATCTACCATGAGACCACCTAGGAGGCTATTTCAGCAAAAGTTGATGGTAGCAGGACTAGGTATGGGGCAGTGAGAAGGGAAGAGCAAAGGGCAGATTTGGGAAATATTTACAGGAGATAGAATTGATAGGATCTCAAGGAAGGAGTCACAGGTAACCAGTTTCCAGCTTGGGCAACTTAGTAAATAGGGATATTTTTTACTGAGACAGGGAAGTAAGAAGAGGAGGAGCTGTGGATACATTCGTATTGAAAGTGCTGAATCTTGAGGGTCCCTTGAAGCATCCGTATAGAGATATCCAGCAGACAGTTGAATACACAGGTGTTAAACTTAGCAGAGGGATCTGGGCTAAAGATATAGATTTGAGAATTAACAGTTTGTTGGTGGTTATTGAAACTGGTTAAAACTAAGTGGATAGAAGAAATATAATATATATATATACTATATAATTGCATAGAGTATATAAAATATATTCATGTAAGCAACAAACAAAAGAAAGGTAGAGTGGCTACATTAATATCAGAGAAAGTATACTTCAGAACAAGGAATATCACAATGGATAAGAAAAAGGTTATTTTATAATAATAAAAGGCACAATTCATCAAGAAAAGCAATTTATGTACATTTCTAATAACAGAGCTTTACATGAAGCAAAATCTGCCAAAATGGAAAGGAGAAATAGACAAACTGACAAGTGCAGTTAGAGATTTCAGTACTCCTTCAGTTATTAATTGAACAAATGGAAACAAATCCATAATGACAGAGAGGAGAAAATTCACATGATTGATACTTATAGAACACGTCATCCACAAAATGTAAAATACACATTCTTTCAAGTGCATACAGAACACCCACTAAGCTTGACAATATGCTGGGACTTGTTAAGTCTCATTAAATTTAAAAAATGATTGGTACCATACGGAGTGTGTTTTCTATTCACATGGGAATTAAATTGAGATCTATAAGAGAAAGATACCTAAAATATTTGATAATTAAACAATATACTTCTAAATAACCCACAGATGAAATACGATCATAAAGGAAATTAGAATATTTGAACTGAATAAAGACAAAAACACAACAAACAAAATTTGTGTGCTCAGGTTAAGTGACTATAAATTTTACATGATTATTTTAGAAATAAAAGACCTAAAATCAATCATCTAAACTTCCACCTTAAATAGCTGGTAAAAGAAGATAAAATTAAAATAAGTATAAATAGTAGAATTTAAATTAAATTAAAATAAGTAGAAATCAATGAAATAGAAAATGGACAAATATTAGAGAAAAAAATCAATGAGATTAAAAGCTCTTTGAAAAGATCAATAAAACTGGTTAAATTAAAGCTGGATTGATGAGAGAGGTGAATGGAGAAAACAAAAAACAACAGTATATGAAATGAAAGAGAAGATAACTACATACTTTAAGGCCACTGAAAGGACAATAATAGAAAAATTTGAAAAACTGTGTATTGGTAATTTTGAAAACTTAGATGAAACAGAAAAATTATTTGAAAGACACAGTTACTGAAACTGGATAAAGTAAAAATAGCACATTTGAAAAACCCTGTATCAATTAAAAATTTTAATTCCTAATTACCCCTGCCCCCAACAGGGAAATCTCCAGGCTCAAGCATTAAAGAATAAATGATCCCAATTCTACACAAACTCTTTCAGACAGAGATGATGAGGAAACACTTCTCAACTCATTTTATGAGGTCAGATTTAAACTGATACCAAAGCCAGGCCAGTTGATAATCATATTTAATTACATAACAGAATGAGAAAGTATGACCCAGTGCCCCTCTTACACACAGTTCCAAAAATCTTCAACAAATATCAACAAGTCAAATCCATCAATATTTTAAAAAAAGGATACTATACCATAACCAAGTGGTGCACATAACAGTAATGCAAGGTTTCTTTGACATTTGAAAATCAAACAATGCAATCCCCATATTAATCGAATAAAGGAAAGCCACAATGAGATCATCCCAACAAATGTAGCAAAAGAATTCAATAAAATCTAATACCTATGTATGATAAAAATTGTCAAAAAAATGAAAAAGAAAGAAACTTCCTCAATCTGATAAAGGACATCTCTAAAAATATACAGCTGCCATCACACAGGTGAAAGGTGGAATGCTTTTCCTTAAGATCAGGAAGACAAAAAAGATGTCTATTCTCATCACATCTATTTAACATTATACTCGAGGTCCTAACCAGTGGACTAAGGGAAGAAAAGTAAACAGAAAGCATATAGATTGGAAATAAAGAAGTAAAACCATGTTGATTCAGAGATAACGTGTGGAAAATAGTAATGAATCCACAAAAAAGCTACTCAAACTATTAAAAGATGTCATGGGTTAAATTGTGGTCCTTCCCCAAATTCATATACTGAAATCCTAATTCCTAGTACCTCAGAGTGTGACTTTATATGGAGATAGGATCTTCACAAAATTAAAATGAGTCATTAGGTTGGGTGCTGTTATAGACTGAATGTTTTTGTATCTTCTCCAAATCCACATGTTGAAATCCTAACCCCACAATGTAATGGCATGGGTGGTAAGGCTCTGGCAGGTAATTCAGTCATGAGGGTAAAGCCCTCATGAATGGTATTAGTGCCTTTATGAGAAGAGACATATGTGTTCTGTGCTATATAAGGACACAGCAAGATGATGGCTATTTGATGAGGACACAGCCTCTCAGCAGAATCTAATCGTAATGGCATCCTTATTCTCAGAATAAGACAGGCCTGAATCCAATACAACTGGAGTCCTTACATAAAGGAGAATTTTGAGATAGATATGCATACAGGGAGAATGCCATGTGAACCTGAACACAGCCATCCACAGCCCAAGGAGAGAGTCCAGGAACAGATCCCTCCCGTATAGCAAAGGGGAAATCAACTCTGCCAACACGTTGATTTTGGACTTCTAACTTACCAAACTGTGAGATGATAGGTTTCTCTTGTTTAAGCTACCGAGTTTGTGGTGCTTTATCAGAGTAACCCTAGCAAATTAATACAAGAGAGGTTAGCAATTTTGTAGAATACAGGTCATTTTACAAAAATAGGTTGATTTTTATATACTAGCAACAACATACTAGAAACCGAAATTTTAAAACACCACGTACAATAGCATGCAAACAAATGGAGTATATATTTAATTTTAAATAAAATATTTTCCTTACAGAATTGTTAAGAATGAATGAATGCCCTGAGTGAAGAATGCATGGCAAGCATAGTACCTAGAATCTATATTCTAAATTATATATTTAATAAATACGTAGATATGTACGTGCAGAACTCAAGAGTTTTCAGCAGACAGCACAATCCCGCTGGTTGTAGGCGATAGGCCACACCCTCCTAATCAGCCCACCCGGCTCCTTGGCTTCTGCGGAAATAGCGGTTCAAAACACCTCCGGCCTCAGCACAAGCACGTGGGCACGTGGGCTCCGCCTCCCACAACAACAGAGAAACGCTGTAATTCCGGCGTTGACATCAAAGGTGGTGATGCTTGATTTTTAAAATCCATCCGAAAGGACCAATCAGAGCCAGCAGTCCCTAGGCGGAAGCGGATTGGCCTACGGCTGCTCGCAGGCACCAATGGGCTTGGAGGTGAGTTTGGTGGGCACCGGAAGCGGGCGAATTGAAAACGGGCGGCGGCCGCGGGCAGTTTGAATTGGAGATGAATCCACAAAAAAGCTACTCAAACTATTAAAAGATGTCATGGGTTAAATTGTGGTCCTTCCCCAAATTCATATACTGAAATCCTAATTCCTAGTACCTCAGAGTGTGACTTTATATGGAGATAGGATCTTCACAAAATTAAAATGAGTCATTAGGTTGGGTGCTGTTATAGACTGAATGTTTTTGTATCTTCTCCAAATCCACATGTTGAAATCCTAACCCCACAATGTAATGGCATGGGTGGTAAGGCTCTGGCAGGTAATTCAGTCATGAGGGTAAAGCCCTCATGAATGGTATTAGTGCCTTTATGAGAAGAGACATATGTGTTCTGTGCTATATAAGGACACAGCAAGATGATGGCTATTTGATGAGGACACAGCCTCTCAGCAGAATCTAATCGTAATGGCATCCTTATTCTCAGAATAAGACAGGCCTGAATCCAATACAACTGGAGTCCTTACATAAAGGAGAATTTTGAGATAGATATGCATACAGGGAGAATGCCATGTGAACCTGAACACAGCCATCCACAGCCCAAGGAGAGAGTCCAGGAACAGATCCCTCCCGTATAGCAAAGGGGAAATCAACTCTGCCAACACGTTGATTTTGGACTTCTAACTTACCAAACTGTGAGATGATAGGTTTCTCTTGTTTAAGCTACCGAGTTTGTGGTGCTTTATCAGAGTAACCCTAGCAAATTAATACAAGAGAGGTTAGCAATTTTGTAGAATACAGGTCATTTTACAAAAATAGGTTGATTTTTATATACTAGCAACAACATACTAGAAACCGAAATTTTAAAACACCACGTACAATAGCATGCAAACAAATGGAGTATATATTTAATTTTAAATAAAATATTTTCCTTACAGAATTGTTAAGAATGAATGAATGCCCTGAGTGAAGAATGCATGGCAAGCATAGTACCTAGAATCTATATTCTAAATTATATATTTAATAAATACGTAGATATGTACGTGCAGAACTCAAGAGTTTTCAGCAGACAGCACAATCCCGCTGGTTGTAGGCGATAGGCCACACCCTCCTAATCAGCCCACCCGGCTCCTTGGCTTCTGCGGAAATAGCGGTTCAAAACACCTCCGGCCTCAGCACAAGCACGTGGGCACGTGGGCTCCGCCTCCCACAACAACAGAGAAACGCTGTAATTCCGGCGTTGACATCAAAGGTGGTGATGCTTGATTTTTAAAATCCATCCGAAAGGACCAATCAGAGCCAGCAGTCCCTAGGCGGAAGCGGATTGGCCTACGGCTGCTCGCAGGCACCAATGGGCTTGGAGGTGAGTTTGGTGGGCACCGGAAGCGGGCGAATTGAAAACGGGCGGCGGCCGCGGGCAGTTTGAATTGGAGTTTGGTCCCCCAAGCCGCCGTGGCTGCGCCGAGCCCGACAGTCTGAGGGGTTGTTTGCGGTTCCCGGCTAGCAAGGTGAGTGTCCTGCGTGGGTGCCAGCTCCGGCGGGGCACGGGGGGAGCCACTGGCCTTCTGCAGGAGGATGTGGGAGGGATGCCTGTGGCATCGCGCTCCCGGCCGGAAGGTGCGGCGGTCCGCTCCCGCCCACCTGTTGGGCCTGGAGAATCCGTTCGGTGAGGTTCTTAGGCGGCTGCGGGCGCCCAGCTGCGCCGGTTAAAGCTGTGCTCGCACTAGTGTCCCGAGACCTGCTCGGTCACGCACTGACAAATTTGGGGGATCGGTTTCCTCCTCTGTAAGGTAAAAGAATTGGAGATCAGGTATTTGCTAGCATCCTTCCCGGTCCAGGAACGGGTGACCCCTATTTGTAATTAGACTCGGTCCTTTGTTGCATGGAGGCGATGCAAGCTTGGGTTTTCATCTGGGCGGCGGGTCGGTGTGTTAGTTGGGAGAGCATTGCTCCCTTGCATTCCACGTTTATTTGGACGCTTCCGAGTGCCTGGCTCTGTGTTATTTGAACCCAGAAATAAATGACCTGAGCCCTTCCTGGAGCCTGGTCTAGAGGAGCAGGCAGAGATTGCATTCTCGGGCTCCGCCGAGGCAAGGTAGGCGGGGACAAGGGTTTCGTGGTGGTGGTGGGGGATTCTGATAAAGGGAAAGCGTGAAATGGGCCTGCAGTGCTGGTTGGGTGAATCACACGTCCCCAACGAGCTCCTTCTGGCATCCTACGGGGGTCGGTGATTCCAGCATGAGAAGTGGCCACCACTATGTTTAAGATAGAAAGAGCATTTTCTGGAAAGGACAGTCGTCCTGCAAATCCTTGCAGGAATTTCGACCTCCAGCCCCCGCCCCCTTCCACCTTACTTTTGAGGTTTATATTTTTTTGTCCTTTAGCTCCGGTGGCTCCATACAAATGGTTGATGGCTGATGCTTTAATCTGTCAAAGTCTGCTCTACTCATAATTGTGTTTAGTGACTGCTTTAAACATTTCTTTCTAGCTTTACCTTAGATTTTGAAATAGAAAAACATTCAACTTGCCAGTCTTCAGTTTATTTCCTTCATCTCTATCATTTTTCTAAATTATTCCTTGTTCTATTTTGTTGGCTGTGGTATCTTGATGTAATGATTTGAGAGGCTGGCAGAATTGTTGAGGACAGAGCTGTGTGCCCCAAGTTATATTGGAATGAAAGGGGTGGCATATTGGGGCAGTGTAGATTGTCTTTTGTTGGTGGAGAGACTCATGAGACCCCTTTCAGTAGTTTTTGGGCAAATGGTGGAGTTTAAGATGCTGTGTTCAGAGAAGTGAGATCTGGGGAAGAAAAACTGTCAGAATACCCATCTTTCCAAGGTTTCTGGCACTTTATGGGGCATGTAATTGATGTGTTTTCCAAGACCATTGCTTATTTGTCTTGCTCTTTAAAAGTTTTTTTGTCATTCTTAGTACTTTCATCAACTATTTATTACTCTGATAAAAATGTAATTGGTAAGGTTTATTGAAACAAACACTAAAATGGTTGTGGGCTTCGGTTAGTAAAAAACAAATTCTCACTCTCTTGCCCAAATAAGTGGAAACTGCTTATTTTTCATTGAAGTGTAAAGGCTAATAAAGAACAGTCCTCATACTTTTCTCCCAGCTGATTTAAATTTTCTAAAATGTGTCTGAGAAGGAGGTAGGCTACTTCCCTCTTGGTAACATAGCTGAAATACCCAAATGAAAAGTGTTTTCAAGACTAATAGCGAACATGTACAGACATCTTATCAGGAGATAATGTTTTAAGGCTTTAAGGAGTCACCACCATTGTTATTCCCATTTTACAAATAAGGAAAGCAAGGCACAGAGCAGTTAACACGCCTAAGGTCAAACATCTTAGAGGTATCTGAGCTGGGATTTGCATCACTAAGGGTAAACACCTGTTTCTTGATTATGGTGTGTCTGGAACATGACTTTACTGCATTTTGCATCGATTCTAGTACTAATATGGCATTCATTCTGCATTCACTCATGCTTTAAATTCAACAAATGTTAGCTGCTTGGAAGGAGAAGGGGTATCTGTGCCATGGGAAATAGTGACCAGCAGATATGACCAGGTTATGGATCTCAGGAAAGCCTTCCCAGAGGAAGAGGGACAAAGTATGAGTGGGCATTATCCATGGGAAATGGGGAAAAAAGAGCATTTGCAAAAATTACTTGCCGTGCATTTTATTTGTTTGTAGGAATTTTTTCATCCAAAACCTTAAAGCAAAATATTATATTTTGTATAATGAAAACCAACTGAGTTGTAGAAAACAAGTAGCCATACGAGAAGTCAAAAGTGAGAAATAAGAGAAGCAGAAAAGCTAGGGAAGCCAAACCAAGCCATATTATGTACTTCACAGCCAGTTAGTGGCAATCACCTTTCAGAGGAGGGAGAAGACAGATGTTATACTTCATTATCTTTTGAAATGTGAAGTTTTGACACTTGATGCTTAGAGGGAGTTTTGCGGATTCCTCAGTCTCTGAGACTTCAGTTTCCTTTTACTGTAGTAAGACTAACAGCCTGATTACTCTTTTCAGTTTATTTATAAATGTTTGCATAATAAAGAGAGGAGAGCAAAATGAGCTGGGCTTTGGAAGAATGGAAAGAAGGCTTGCCTACAAGAGCGCTTCAGAAAATTCAAGAGCTTGAAGGACAGCTCGACAAGCTGAAGAAAGAAAGGCAGCAAAAGCAGTTTCAGCTGGAAGCTCTGGAGGCTGCATTGCAGAAGCAAAAACAGAAGGTACCACTGCAAGGCTGGTATTTAAAACCTTCGCTCATTGTTGGGTTAATTATTTCATCTTGGTCTTTGACCTTTAGAGAATACTGATTTTGCTATCTTCAGGTGGTAATCCTCCCCTTCTCTTTGTAGTCATTTGAAATTAAATCCTCATTTCTGCTTCCCTGCTAATATTTAGGGCTGGTATGTTCCACCATAACTTCTCATTGGGACCGTGCCTTGGGAGTTGCCTTTGCGTTCTGCACCAAGGCCAGAGTCTCTGGCTCCAAATCTGGGCACAGCATTAGAGCACTTGGCCATCCAGCTGGGTACTGCTTTCTGAGGGTGGGCTTTTCACTGGGAAGTCCCAGACTTCTTCAGGCCTAAAAAATGAACACTTACACAGTACTTCTTCATCCTCTGCATTAGCCAACAAAGTAGAAATACAGTCACTGCTCCTAACACGTTTTTGTGAATGGGAGAATTTTCCAGATTCTTACAATAACTGGCTTTAGCAGCTAGACTTTCAATGAATTGCTAAGAGAGATTTATAGGGTCTCTATTTGATTTTGTAATTCTCGCAAGGGCATTAAAGCCTCCCCTTCTAGGATGGGGATTGTAGTCCTGAACAATAGAACTTTTTTTATCTATAGGCTTCCTAGTGAGGCCATCTAAAATTGTTGTGTTCATGAAACACTGACATCTGGTCAACTACAGCCACGTCTCAGGAAAATTAGTCATCAGTGTTAAGCTGAGGTTTACAAGTAAGTGGCAAATTCACGAAGTAAGAGACTGATTTCCTTCTGAATGGTCCCCATTAGGTTGAGAATGAAAAATCCGAGGGTGCAAACCTGAAAAGGGAGAACCAAAGCTTGATGGAAATATGTGAAAATCTGGAGAAGACTAAGCAGAAGATTTCTCATGAACTTCAGGTCAAGGAGTCACAAGTGAATTTCCAAGAAGGCCAACTGAATTCAAGCAAAAAACAAATAGAAAAACTGGAACATGAACTTAAAAGGTAATTTTTTGAACGGTTCTTACATGGATGTCATTTGTATTCATTCATTCATCCAGCGCATTTATCTTTTCCTTTCATGATGTAATTTATGTACTGCGATATTTTCTTTTTTTTTCTAGTGGAATAAACAATTTGAGGAAAATTAATTTTTTTCCTTATATACTTCAATGCTGTGGGTGCATGGCTCTGCAGTACTATATATATTCATTAACTGGTTGCTTAATTCATTTTTTCATTCAGTGTACATTTATTATGCTGCTTCATGTGCCAGTAACGTTGTCGCTGGGTGATACACTAATAAATAACACCAAAACCGTCAAGAGTGGTTACTGTCCTTGTTCGGTTCCAGGATCTGACCCAGGATACCGTACCGCATTGCATTTAACTGATATTTTCTTGTCTTTTTCTAAGCTGTGACAGTTTCTTGTCTTTCTTGACCTTGGCATTTTTAAAGTGTCCTAGGCAGCGCTTTTGTGGAATAGTCCTCATTTTGGGGTCTTCTCCTGATTTACATCATGGTTGTTTTTTTTTTCAATGATGGCACAGTTGGCACTGTGCACTGGATTAATCTGGGCTGTGGAAGGCTGCCCTGTGCTTTGTAGGAACTTAATAGCCTTCCTGGCCTCTACCCTCAGATGCCAGTAGTACATACTCTTCCTCTAAGTGTCGACAATCAAAAATGTCTCCTGGCATTTCCAAATGTCCTTTGTGAGGGCAAAATCATCCTGGATTGAGAACCAGGGGTCAGGTTGCGGTTGTGATTTTTTTGGTAAGAACACCACACAGGTCGTGATATGCTTCTGTCGGTGCACGACGTCAGGAGTACATGATTAAATGTGACTTGTAAGCTGATCCCTGGGCTAAGGTGGTGTTTGAGTTTCTCCACTGTTTTCCCCTTTGTAATTAATATCTTGATACCAAGAAATTTTTTTTTCTGTTAGCATAACTCAGTGATCTTGATGCTACCTATATATCAAACACATTTTTGAAAGTTAATACCTTTTGAAAATCCCCTTGTCTTCCTGTGAAGATGATAATTTAGGTGCACAGAAATCTTTTTCTACTGTTTCCCCTCCATGTACAAAGGTGGCTATCTATAAGTTGCATGTAAGAATGATAAATGATTTCTATCTCATTGAGGTTTTTGTTTCTTTAGTGTCTGCCATCCCAAATTTCACAAGAACAGAGACCTTGTTTGTTTGGTGTATCAGTGTATCCCTAGCACCTGGCAATTACAGGCCCTCAAATATTTGTTGAATGAATGAATAAATGAAAGATAGACAATCCTTTTGGAAAACAGGTGCTAGGGAAGTAGGTATGTTGGAATAATTATTTTTTTGGAACACAAATTTTGGCTGCTGGGTTTAGAGTGGTTTTAATAATTTAGATGAATTTTTAACACTTTAGGAAAGTGTGCATTTCTGTTATCTTGGCACAAAGGGATGGTTGGTAGCAGTCCTTGAAGATACAAAGCGCTCAGGGTTGTGTATGACTCGAAGCAACTCTTAAATGTTAGCATTATTGTCAACCTCAAGAGTTGTTACCAGCTGTCCTTGTCTTCATCATCATGGGGCTAGAAGGCTACCACAGCACATTTAATTTAAAAACAATCTTAGTATCTATGATGTGGATATAGATGTTTATAAAAGTTTATGCTGTGTAAACTTTAGTTAAAACCTATTTAAGAATATATTTTCTGCAGTATGAAAACTATACATTTCAAGACCTATTGAGTATAACTTCAGACTCTTACTGGTAGCCCTCAAGTGCAGGGCAGGAGCTCATTTTCTCCATCCATGACCATTAATTAGGTTTCAGGAAGGTCTCCAACAAGTCAGGTTAAACCATTTGAAATGTTGTTCAAAAACTGTTGAATATTGGCAATCTTACGCAGTGAACCTACTGGCAACAGCTTAATTTAGTGCTTTTTTGGTGGCAGTTTGTGGTTGCCTTTTTTTTTTAATCTAAAAGAGAAAGGAGAAATAAAGGCTGATAGAAATAATACAGGGTATGCTTTTAATACTTAAAATAAATCAACTTTTATTATTTTTTTTAATGAAAGGATAAGGAAAAGGGGATAAGAAACACTGATTTTGCAAGGCTCTTTAAAATCCATCTCTGGAATCACTAACCTTGTCAAACCTGCAGGAGTGTACAGCCCTATACTGTCCGGCATGGGAGCCACTGGCTGCATGTGACTGCTGAGCCCTTGAAATGTGGCTAGTGCAAACAGATGCACTTTAAGTATACAATGCATACCAGATTCTGAACACTTAGGACAAAGAAATGTAAAATATCTCCTCAGTAATTTTTGTATTAATTACAAATTGAAATGATAGTATTTTGAAAATAGCGAGTCAAATCAGATGTAAGATTAAATTTACTTACTTCGTGTTACTTTCTTCATGGTGATTGAACATTTCTGTGGGACAGTGCAGTTACCTACTGTAAACTCGAATGTAATGATTTTTTGAGTAGTCGTTTTTAGCTCATGCACTGCCGTTTCCTTCCCAGGTTGCATAAGGAGCTGGCTAGAGCTAGGGCACTGAGGTTCTTTCTTGACTACTTTCTTCATTCCTTGCTTTGAGCAATGTGTCCGTGAGAAAGAAAATACCTGGTACACATCATTAGCTATTCTAATCGAGCATGAGTTTTATTTCTTGTGTCAAGCCAGAATCAGAGGCATTAGAGGCTTTTGCAAGAATTGAGTCCTCTTTTCATTTAGGTTGTTTGGTTCTGAAGGGTGTTCAGAACTTAAATGGTAGATATTCTGTACATCGGTACTATATAACTTCCTTTCCGTTTTTTTGTAACTGTTTCCAGCTGTATCTTCTCTAGATGCATCATGCTAACTAGAGTTTTATAACCGTTTAAAAAAATGTCATAAAATACATAGTATGGATATCAAGTCTGTGTTTTTGTAATGACTTGATGTCTTAGATAATGTCATCCAGTTTCACGATTTAAGCCCCATATTTCAATGACGCCAGTTTCTTTATGCTTCTGAAGTTCTGGGTTCTTTTATATCCCTATGCCTTTCTTTGGCTTAGAATGGGAAATTTGCTTGAAATATACCCCCAACCTCCCAATTTTTCTTTGCTACAATAGTGGTGATTTTAGAGCTTCAGTGTAGTTCTTTATAACATTGTGATTATATTTCTCTTTGTATCTATATTTCTTTTCCCTAATTAGAGTTCCTTTGACGATGGACTGACTTTATGTCTGTTACATGACTTCTCATAAAAAGTCTGTAGGATAAATGAAGTGGTGAGGGTTCTTAGAGGGTGGGTTTTTCTAAGTTTGTTACTCTCTGGGACTGTGTGGTGCTGTATTCGGCAGTCTTTGCTCTGATATGGCCTCCTTGTGGGTCCTGTTCCAACAGGTATAAATCTGAACTTGAGAGAAGCCAGCAAGCTGCACAGTCGGAAGACAACTCTCTGAATCCATGCAGTACACCACAAAAAATTCTTATCACTCCACTAACGCCAAGTCAGCATTGCAGTGGTGAGTATTTTTTCCCTTTTAGCTCTTTATTGAGATTTTAATTTGTCCAAAGAAGTGAATTAATTAATCTTTGAATTCTTCTTTGCATTTGGCCATTAAAAAAAATAGATTGTTGCTTGCCCATTTGTGTATCTGTTGAGCCACCAGGTTGAGCCTTTCAACTTTTTTCTCTGTTCTGTGGTGTGCTTTAAAAATAATTCAATCTGAGAATATTCAGAACACCCAAGTTTTCATATATTTTGATATTTGAGTAACTTGATCAGTATCTGTTGTCCAAACCAAAGTGTTCTTTTTACCTAGTGTACTAAGATACTCATTTCGAGACCATCTGTTATAATGATTGTTAGACTGTGAATTTTCTTCATGGAATACAGTGATCAAAGTTAAACCCCATCTCATTGTCTGTGTTTAGGTTCCAAGTATGAAGATCTGAAAGAAAAATATTATAAAGAAGTTGAAGAACGAAAAAGATTAGAGGCAGAGGTTAAAGCCTTGCAGGCTAAGGTAGGTTAATTATGGGCCTTACAATACAGTATGCAGTTGAAGAAGTACTTTGATACAGGATAGAATATGGTTAGAGAAAAATCTTTTTTATGTAGAACTTGACACAGTTTTTTTACACTGAGAAAATAAGCTTCCTGGTTCATTGGCTAGGATTATTTTTTGACTTTAAAAATAAGTAGGAGTGGGGAGATTAGTTTATGTCCACATATTAAATATTCATTAAATCCTATAAAACTGTAGTCGATAATTATTTCCCTAATGAGATTTAATGAAAAGGATCATGTGTGGAAGGGGATAGGACAAGAGCCACTCCTGACCCTCACTGGCTGGCTTTGTCTCCTGGAGACAGTTGCTTCCTATGAAGTCCTGATGAAATGTGGCAATTGCTTCCAGGGATATGAGGTTTGAGCATCATTGCTTAGAAATGTTTATTTCAGAATGCAACATTATCAGCATCATCTCCCCAATTCTTATAAAAAAGTTGCTGACAAGGGTTTTAAACTTCATTTTGATATTGGGTAAATAAGTAGAGAGGTGGGTGAAGAGAATTTAATGTCAATAATAAACAAACTGCAGGTTTTAGACACCCCTGCTCCTAGTTTAGGGACTCACCCTCACAATACCTGGTATCTATAGCATTTATCTTTAGCTTTTCTACTCACATGATGTTATTTGCGAAAAAAAATAATTCCAGTTTTGCACTTAACGATTCCTTTCTGCCAAACATAAGAACTTTGTGAGATGGCACAATTCAGTGAACAATTTAAGGCTAAATTTGTCAATTGGTACCTTAAATATTGAGGATCAAAAAGTGCCTATTAGAGTGTAAACAATTTTAATTCTTTTCATGCCTTTAACCCTTGTTTTGAGGTCACTAGAATTCTTATCTATAGCAAAGGCTATATAGCACTTTTCAAGATGAATAAAATTAAACAGTAATTATCTGGTTTGTCCTAGAAATATCATGTGCTTTGTTATCCAGTTTAATCATTGGCACCGATTCTGACCCTGACATTGATTGGCAGAGTTATTTTGTGGAGGAATCTGAGTCTCCAAAAACATCAGACCTCTCCCTACAGCAAGAAAAGTGCTTTCTTTTTAAATAAAATTTAAAAAAATTTCATGTAGCTTCTATAGCTATGTCTTGATATTTATCAGAAAGGAGGCAGAGAAAAGAACAAAAAGAATTCAAAGCAGTTGCAAATCCACAAATGTATGTTATTTAATATAAAAATGCCTTCCATGATGTTTTTGGGGTGAGTGGCATAGTAGAAAGTAGATTGTTTTGGAAGAGTTCTTTAGGTTAACATTTAATTTTGATTCTCTGTGTGCATAGCTACAGGGGGAGGTGACCAAGGACATGAAAACCAAATTTCAGAATTCAGAATGGTAGTGAATAATCACATGCTTAACGGAGTACGTGAGGGCTACAGACTTCATTTAAAGTAGATTGGGCCTCAAATGATCCTGGCTTAACCCTTCAATGCTTAAGTCTGACCATTAGAAAATTCCTGCACTGGGGTACAGGGACTTACTGGATCCCGAGATGAACATTCTTGGTACACAGGGCAAGTGTCCACTTTTTGGTGTTATGGTTTTTATGTTCTCTCTGAAAATAAAGAACCCTGAATATTGACATTTCTGAAGGGCTCTAAAGAGTTTCTGTTTTTACAGGAAGCAAGTCAGGCTGTTCCCCAAAACCCCATGAATCACCGGGACATTGCCCGACATCAGGCTTCGTCGTCTGTGTTCTCATGGCAACAAGAAAAGACACCAAGTCGCCTCTCATCTGATGGGCTGAGAACTCCAAGTAGGAGAGATTTCTCTGCATCTCACTTTTCGAGGGAACATGGGGTGACTCCAAGCAGATCAACTTTGCGGCCAGGCAGAAGAGATGCTAATGGCAGTTTTTGTGATAATTCTGGCAATTCTCATCTTTTGGATCAATTGAAAGCCCAGAATCAAGGTAACTTTTTGAGGTGAATTAAGTTTAAATGATATTTTCCTGAGATCATCTCAGAGGTGATTCCAGACATTTTTAGTCCTAGCATGTACTTAGGTGTTTTGTTAGACACACCAGTGGTCAACATTCCAGTCCAGGGTTGTGAAATACTGTCTTTTTGATAATGAGAAGTGATATCACAGTTTTGGAGTGTACCTTAATTCATACTAAAAAGCTGGTTCCCTGAAGCCCCCAAAAGTAGGGTGAGTGGCTCTGATTTTGTCTTTCCAGAAAAGCAGGGCAAAGAGGCTGGTTACAGTTGAAACTCGTTTTTCGTCTGGCTCCTTCTGTGGCCCACAAACAAGCCAGCGGTCTGGCCAGCTTTGGCCAGAGGTGTGGCACGTGTCTCCAGAACAGCCTTGCTGTGTACCGCCAGGTCGTCCATATGGGAGTGCAAACCTGTAACCCTGGCTGCGGAGCCATACTGCAGCTGACGGCCAAGGGTACCAGGTGGTGTTTGGAATCCACTCTGTGGACTATGATAATTTCCAGTGCTAGGATATATTGTAAACCACCGCCAGTGTTCATTGGTGAGAGCTGTCACACTGCCAATGCCGTTGGAACCAACATTGTGTGTATGTGGGGAAAAAAAAACGAGAAAAAAAAATTGTTAATGTTGGCAGTATAGGAGGTTCACACTGTCTTGACCTTTACTGGAGGTGAAGCTCCCGGGGAATATGGGAGGGTGAATTTTTCATTGCTTAGCACTCATTTGCATTGATAGGGGCACAAAACAAATGTGAGCTTGCCAGTGTATAAAACCAAGTGGTGATTTTAACAGTGGGTGTTTTATGTGGTACACTTTCTGTAGCCTTAATAAGATTCTATTCACAATTTTAGAGAAGCGTTTCTCCCCCACGTCATTGTGAAAACATAAGAAAATTTGTTTCTCCCATTTCCTAGACAATGTTTGAGGACAAATGACAATAGAGCCTCAACATGGAAATTAAATCCAAAAAGGTAGCTTCTGTGTTTAATGTGAATTGATTTATATCTGTCTCACCAAAGGTTTCAGAGCAGAGTAACATAAATTATATACTCTGAATTTAGTTGTAAGTTTTTTGTGAGAAAAAAAATTAATTGAAGAGGGTTTTGTTTGTGATTTAAGAGCTAAGGAACAAGATTAGCGAGTTGGAACTACGTCTGCAAGGACAAGAAAAAGAAATGAAAGGCCAAGTGAATAAATTTCAAGAACTACAACTCCATCTGGAGAACGCAAAAGTGGAATTAACTGAAAAAGAGAAAGTTTTGAATAAAAGCAGGGATGAGCTAGTGAGAACAACAGCACAGTATGACCAGGCTTCCACCAAGGTATGTGACTTTTCATAAATGACTGAAAAATCTCCATTTTTTCAGAGTTCTTTAGAAAGAGTACTTTATACTTAAATTTATGAAATAAATGAGTAAAGAACTTTATTAATATACACTAAGCAGTACTGATGCAGCTGAACTAGTAAGCTCTCTAGGAGTTCAGCAGATCTGGGGTCAAATCTGGATTATACATTTTCCCAGCCGAGTGACTCGGGCAAGTCACTGAAACCTTGCATCTCAGAGGGTGGTGAAGAATAAAGATTATGTGTATATAGCACCTGGCACATAGAAGAGGTACTTACATTGATGGAGCTTGAAAGAGTTCTAGGACATAGGATGGGATTTAATTGATTACTGGTATATGTATATACACTCAACGTCAAGCACATGTACTCTTTTTTCTTTTTTTCTTTTTGTTTTTTTTAAGGTATCATTGATATATACTCTTATGAAGGTTTCACATGAAAAACAATGTGGTTACTACATTCACGCATATTATCAAGTCCCCCCAGCACCCCATTGCAGTCACTGTCCATTAGTGTAAGAAGATGCTATAGAGTCACCACTTGTCTTCTCTGTGCTACACTGTCTTCCCCATGATACCCCCTCCAACACCATGTGTGCCAGTCATAATGCCCCTCAATCCCCTTTTCCCTCCCTCCCCATCCACCCTCCCCCACCCCTCCCCTTTGGTAACTGCTAGTCTGTGAGTCTGCTGCTGTTTTCTTCCTTCAGTTTTGCTTCATTGTTATACTCCACAAATGAGGGAAATCATTTGGTACTTGTCTTTCTCTGCCTGCCTTATTTCACTGAGCATAATACCCTGTAGCTCCATTCATGTTGCAAATGGTAGGATTTGTTTTCTTATGGCTGAATAATATTCCATTGTGTATATGTACCACGTCTTTATCCATTCATTTACTGATGGACACTTAGGTTGCTTCCATTTCTTGACTATTGTAAATAGTACTGTGACAAACATAGGGGTGCATATGTCTTTTTCAATCTGGGATCTTGCTTTCTTAGGGTAAATTTCTAGGAGTGAAATTCCTGGGTTAAATGGTATTTATATTTTTAGCTTTTTGAGGAACCTCCATATTGCTTTCCACAATGGGTAAACTAATTTACATTCCCACCAGCAGTGTAGGAGGGTTCCCCTTTCTCCACATCCTCGCCAGCATTTGTTGTTCTTAGTCTTCAATGTTGGCCATCCTAACTGGTGTGAGGTGATAATCTCATTGTGGTTTTAATTTGCATTTTCTTGATAATTAGCGATGTGGAGCATCTTTTTATGTGCCTGTTGGCCATGTGAATTTCTTCCTTGGAGAAGTGTATGTTCATCTCCTCTGCCCATTTTTTAATAGGATTATTTACTTTTTGGGTGTTGAGGCATGTAAGTTCTTTATATATTTTGGACGTTAACCCTTTGTCGGATATGTCGTTTCTGAATGTTTTCTCCCATACTGTAGGATGCCTTTTTGCTCTACTGATGGTGTCTTTTGCTCAGTACATGTACACTTTATATCTGATCTCAAGGTGGTAGTTAAGGCCAGTCTTCTAGCCTCTTATTTGAGGGCTTTTTGTTGATGTTGCTTTGGCCCCAACCTACCTTTCTAGTCTTTTCCTCTCTTTTTGCTATTATTCATTCATTCACTGACTCACTGGACAAATACTTACTGACTGCTGTATGCCAGGTACTCTTCTAGACCTGGGAATGGAGCAGTGAGTAAATGGACAAAAATCATCACCCTTAAGGATGAGGAACTTCATCCTAATGTGGGATGTATCATAGATATATATCACATTGATAGTGTGGTATATGGCGATAAGTGGATTATCTTCTAGAACCAAATGTGATGATTTGGTGTTTTCTGAACCTGACCTTTATCTGGGCCCAGCACTTCACTCACATTTGCCTTTCTACTCAGTATATGTCCTCTTGGAATTTTGTTCATGTTGCCTGTCCTGTGAGCTCCATCCCTCAATTCATAATGCAGTGAGATCTTTTCTCTTTGCATCCCCTTTATGACCCTTTTATTGCTGTTATTTGTGATCTACCCCACACTGGACTGTCAGAATTACTGAAAAATTTGCAGAATTAATCTTTTTAGACTCACTTCTGAAGTAGGCGTAAGGATTTTACTCGTAATTAGTTGGCTAGGTATTTCTAAGACACTAGGTAAAAACCACTGTAGAAGGTAGACCTACATCTCTTATTTGCTTCCTGGGGGAAGGTTTCTTTGTCTTTCTTTTTTTTTTAAATCTTTTTAATTTAAGATAATTGTAGGTTCATATGTACTTGTACGAAATCATAGCTTGTTAATACGGTGGATTATATTGATTGCTTTCCAAATATCTGAATGAGCCTCGCATCTCTGGAATAAACCCTACTTGGCCATGGTGTATAATTGCTTTTATGTATTTCTGAATTTCATTTGCTAATAATTTGTTAAGGATTTTTGTGTCTATATTCATGAGGGATATTGGTCAGCTGTTTCTTTGTTTTGTCTTTGGTGTTTGTACCAGAGGTAATACTACCTTTATAAAATGAACTGGGAAGTGTTCCCCTTCTATCTTTTTGGAAGAAAATAGAACTGGTGTTATTTCTTTATACATTTGGTAGAATTCTCCATGAAACCGTCTGGGCTTGGAAATTTCTTACTTGGGAGTTTTACAATTACAAATTCAATTTTGGAAATAGTTCTATAGATTTTAAAAATAGTTATTTCATATTGGATGAGTTGGGATAATTTGTGTTTTTAGAGGAAATGATCCATTCCATTTAAATTGGCAGAATTATGTATGTAGAGTTATTTGTAGTATTTCCTTACTGTTAATGTCTGTAGGTCTGGTGATACTCCTTGTTGTTCATTTCTCATATTTGCATCTTCTCTTTTTTTCTCTGTCAGTCATATTAGAGATTTGTCACTTTTGTTGATCTTTATTGGTCTTCCCAAAGAATCAGCATTTCAGCTCATTGATTTTTCTCTCTTTTTTTTTTTTTTTCAGTTTCATTGATTTTTGTTCTTTTATTTCTTCTTGGTTTGGGTTTATCTTGCTCTTCTGATTTGAGATTTGACTTCTTTTCCAATGTAGGCATTTAATGCTATAAATTTCTCTCTCTGCTGCTTAAACTGTGTCCAACAAATTTTGATAATTGTATTTTAATTTTTACTCAGTTCATTGTATTAAAAAATTTTTTCCTTGAGATAGCCTCTTTGCCCCCATGAATTATTTAAAAATACTTTGTTTAGTTTCCAAGTGTTTGAAGGTTTTCCTCTTTCTGTTATTGACTTTTAGTTTGATTCCATTGTGTTCAGATAGCATGCTCTATGATTTCAGTTTTTTTAATTGTTGAGGTTTGTTTTATGGCCTAAGATATAGTCTGTGTTGGTACATGTTTTGTGGGCACTTGAAAAAAATGTATATTCTGTGGTTGGGTGAAGGGTTCTCAAACTGCCTCTAAGCTACATGTTGGTTGATTGTGTTATTGAATTCTTCTATATCCTTGCTTATTTCCTGTTTGTTCTATCAATTGTTGATGGCAGGATTTTGAAAGTTTCCCTTAAGTTGGTTCGTCTGTTTCTCCTTTCAGTTCTATCAGTTTGCTTCACATAGTTTGTAGCTATGTTATTTGGTGCATATACATCTAGGATTGCTACGACTTTTTGGTGGCTTGACCCTTATCACTATAGGCATACCTGGGAGATAATTGTGGGTTTGCTTCTAGACCACTGCAATAAAGCAAGTCAAATGAATTTTTATTTCCCAGTGCATATAAAGTTATATTTGCACTGGACTGTAGTCTGTTAAGTGTGCCAGTAGCATTATATCTAAATAAATAAAGTATATATCTTCATTAAAAAAATATTGTTTAAAGTGCTGATCATTATCTGAGATTTCAACAAGTGGTGATCTTTCTGCTTGATGGAGGGTCTTGCCTGGATGTGGATGGCTGTTGACTGCTCAGGGTGGTCATTGCTGTGGCAATTTCTTAAAATAGGACAGCAGTGAAGTTTGTCATATCAAATGACTAGTATGTGATGCTGTTTCATAGTATTTTACTCACACAGTGGAACTTCTTCAAAATTGGAGTCAATCCTCTCAAACTATCCACTGCTTTATCAGCTAGGTTTACGAAATATTTTAAATCCTTTGTTGTCATTTCAACATTTACATTTAATATATAGACCATTTGCATTTAATGTAAGCACTGATAGGTCACAGTGTAAATCTGTCATCTTACGTTTTTTTTCTACTTTTTTCATTTCTCTGTTTCTTTTTTTCCTGCTTTCTTGTGGGTTATGTGAATCTTTTTTACTATTCCATTTTGATTTATTTATAGTGTTTTTGAGTGTATTTCTTTGTAGAGCTTTTATAGTGATTGTTCCTGATACTACATTATTTTTGCCCATAATTTATAATATTCCATACACCCATGATTTATAACATTCTATTGTCATATTTTACCAGATCTAATGAATTATAGAATATACTTCTTTTCATCCTTTCACCCTCCCCATTTATAATATAATTTTCTTTACATACATTTAGAACCACATCAAACAGTGTTATAATTTTTGCTCCAACCATCAAACATAATTTAGAAAATTGAAGAGAAGGAAGGCCTATTATATATATCAATATAGTTGCGTCCTTCCTCATTCCTTCCAAGGTTCCTTCTTATATAATTTCCTTTCTGTTTGGAGAACTTCTTTTAACCACTCTTTTAGGGTAGGTCTACTGGCCACAGTTTCTTAGTTTTCCTCTCTGAGAATGTCTTGATTTCCTCTTCTTCACAGGGTATGAGGATTCTGGGGTGATAGTTCTTTTCTTTCCACACCATCACGTTTTTCCCTTGGGTCCCAAAGTTCAATCAGTCTTCTTCCCTTTCAGAATTCTCTTAAGTTTCTTCTAATATAATGTCCAGGGTTTTAAATTGTTCTTTATGTGAACAATAGAGAAATATACATCTATCCATCTTCCTGGAAATGGTAGTCCAGGTTCATTTTTAGATATTCTCTTAGTGCAGTGGTTTGTACACAAAAGATATTTGTAAATATGGATTTAGATGTATGTGGGTGCAGTGAAGGCCCAATGGGACTACGACCTACCTTGACCCATATATTTATTCTTTTTGTGAAGTCTGAGTTTGTAAATTGGTCTTCTAAGTTAAGAAAGACTTGGGGGTTTGAGTCTTGGCTCTGCCACATCCCAGTTGTATTGCTTTTGGAGCCACTTAATTAACTTTTGAGCCTCCGTTGTCTAATCTATAAAGTGTTAATAATGCTTGTGTCATAGCATTGTTGTAAAGATGGAGATAATTTCTGTGAAGGCTTTAGCATAGTACCTGGTACATGGTGAATTATAATGATATTAGTTGTTATTATTACATTGTTCTTTATCAATTAAGCTCATTTTTCAGTTGTATTTCTGCCAACTCAGACCTTCCTATATATAAGAATTATCCTTTTATGTTTTGACTTCCTGATTTCGGTGTGACAAGATAGGGAATCCTTGTTTTATCTAATACATTTGATCAAGTCTCTTCCTACCGCATCTTGAATTAAAATTTCTGACTAGGATGGTGCTGAGAATGCAGCCCTGCCTTTCTCTCTATTGGAGACTCCCTCCCAGGTTAGGACTTGACTGTCCAGTGCTTTCTGGATTCCATTTTTTTTCCAGTGAGCTTCCACCGCCCAAAAATGCAGTTTGCCTCTCTAGGTCTTGCCTCTAAGGATAATGACCTTGTCAAATGTGTTGCTGACGTCAAACAGCTTTGTGCGGTTCCCTGACCTACCATTGGAATTACCTAATAAATAAAATGGGGCTAATTTCACCAAAATCAATACTGTTGTGTTCTTTTGTGAACATATGCTGCTTTTCCAAGTTTTTATGACCCATGTGGGATACAGTTGAACTCACATACAGAGTGTTGAGGCTGGCAACAAATGGGGAGCTCAGCACCCACATTTTTTTCCCCACATTTTACAGATGAGAAACTCAGGCTCAGTGTTAAGTGAGTACACAGGGTCATGCTACATATTCTCAAGGACTTGAGCTCTGCACACTATTTTAGAATATTATGGAACATTCATGACCCCTAGTGGCCGGATACTCTTACATCACTTTTGCATCATCAGTATCAGAATGTTGTTTTAAAAAAATTTTTAGTGAAATATAAATACCTCCCAGAGGCTCTTTTCTAAACCTACTTGTTCCTAGTAAGAAAAGATTATTGATTCTGAGATCCTTTAGTGGAATGTGTTGCAGTTTAAAGGTTGGCCAGCAGAGGGCATACAGAGCTGATTCATCCTCTGCCATGTGTGTGTGGGTGGGGGGCAGAGGGGGTATTGTTTACCTGAGAATTGTCAGCTATCGAAATACTGGAGCGTCATTTGGGCAACGATTTTTATCTGACTTGTGTATTGCCCCATCCCCAGTGCCTAGCACAGAGCTTTGCATAAAGTAGGCTCTCAAGAAATATGTGTTGAGCTCACATTTGTTATTATTTTAAATAATTTCTGTAATACTTTTCCTTGGGGATTTGAACATTCAAGAACAGTAGGATAACAGTAAAGATGTCTTAACCTCCAAGGCAGTGGATTAATTTGAACCACAGGCTCAATATATTACTTTTTAAAAAGTTTATTAAAGTATCGTTAATATACAATCTTATGCTGGTTTCAAATGTATACATCACAATGATTCAACAGTTCCCGTGATCAACTTATCAATATATTACTTTTTTAACTTGGTGTATGTTAAGCTCTGGTATTTGTGAGATCATTCAGTCATTGATGACCAGCTTTGACCTTTTCATCTTTGGTTAGTTAATAATTTGTGTCTGTCTGGTGTTCTGGCAAGGATTACAAAGTGTTTTCTTTTTCTCCAAATTCTCTGTTAAATTTCTGTTATTTCTAATAGTTCTAAATGAGACTATAATGAATCTGAGAGAAATGCATTAGTACAGAGATTTGCCAAACTGGGGCATGTTTCTTTTGGACCAGGAAGTTCTCCCAGACCCATATGAAGTACACTTATTCTTCCTTTGAACTTTTGAGAGTTGTTTTATGGGGCAGTTTATGGCTTTGAACACCATGGGGAAGATTCAGAAGAGTGGGTTTCAACACTTGAAATTTTAAGACTATTTTGTCCCAACTTAATTTTAACATCCTAAATTTTGATGTAGTTCATGATTTAAAAATTAAGGATAATTGGCTATGTAAAAATGCCAAAGAATGGCCTTGGTGTTGCTTTTGGCAACTTGGTTAAAAACCAATCATGATATTTTCTGGGGTGCCGTGAACTTCCAGAAATTTAAAATGGCATAGTGGAAGTGCTTTAGAAAGAAACATATTAATATTTTCTCATAAAATCTATTATGCTTGAAGCAGACTGCTATATGAGGGTAAGGGTACCCCCTGATTATTTCACAGCTTCTAAATTATACAGGTCAACATCACTGTGTTTTAACCTCTTGTTACCATGCAGTGACATGTTAGAATGTTTATTAAAACCTGTTTTTTTTTCTTAGTGCAAATTATGAAGTATTTATTTAAATGGTCTAATTAATGCTTTACATCCTTGCAGATATTTCCCAAATATACATTTTGTGTGTGCTAAAGTAATCACAATGGTTTTGTTTTGGGTTGATAGTTTGAAGCCCAATTTTTCATGAAATAAAAATGTCAAAACAATCGTAAACGTGAACCAGATCTTGGGGCTAATTTATCTAAAATTAAAAATATTTCCTTCTTTCCTTGAATAATTTTGTTTTGTACTGAGCATTTTTATTTATTGTTAGTGTACGACATTGGAACAAAAACTGAAAAAATTGACTGAAGATCTGAGTTGTCAGCGACAAAATGCAGAAAGTGCCAGGTGCTCTCTGGAACAGAAAATCAAGGAAAAAGAAAAGGAGTTTCAGGAGGTAAGGAAAGGGGATCCGTGAGCAGTTTGTCCAGAGGGCTGTTGTGGGCACTTCATGGTTGGACCATTTGAAAAAAGGAGCTGCTTACCATCGCCTGGAAAGTTCTACTCCGCGGGAAATGCTTCGTGAGGGAGAGGTCCCTGCATTTCCCTTCACGTTTTTCCATCTTTCAATTTTTGGTGGGGGAAGAGACTTAGTAGTCAGAATGCTCTTTTTTATCCATCTGTTCTGATTTGAGATTGTATACTGAGTAGGAAAGGCTCATATTTCTTCTCAGTTGCAAAGGAAATTGTGTTACATTCTCCAGCCGCTTTTAAAGCCTGTGAGTTGGCAAACACATTAGAAAGGTAGTTGATGCTGTGGGGAAGAAAGTTGGCAGACAGGTTAGGGCGGAAGATGTCCTTCCATAAGTATTAACGCCAGTGTTTGGCGGGTTAGCCTGCGAGCGTTTCATACCCTTTCCATAAGGCTGACTGAAAAATGTTGATCTTGTATCCTTATGTGGTTATCAAAGTTAATTGGGGGCATATCCTTGCTATCATTCTAAACTGTAAGTGGCATTTAATGCTTTATTTTTATGTATATATTTGATGTTTTAAACTCCATTTTTGAGTGTGATGTGATCAACTCTTAACTGACTGTGGCCGTGGATCAGCTGTATTCTCTTTTACCCCTGGATTCTTCAAAACAGAGATGATTAGTTTAAGATTGGCGGGCAGGCAGACATAGGATGGTTTCCATGTGGTCGACTGGCGGGCTGCTTCACCGTCTCCTTGGACACCTGGATTTGATTACCGGGACCAGGGCTGAGGCTGACTGTGTTCATCATCAAGTGTTGTCACCCACTCCTTCGGTACAGACCTGCCCGTGAGCCATTTGTGCCTTACCCTGGAATCTCCCTTGTCAGCGACCATCAGTCTGAGGCACGCGTCTTGTGCTTTTTAGGAGCTCTCCTGTCAGCAGCGCTCCTTCCAAACACTGGACCAAGAGTGCACACAGATAAAGGCCAGGCTCACACAGGAGCTACAGCAAGCCAAGAACACGCACAACGCCCTGCAGGCAGAACTGGATAAAGTAAGTGCTGACTTATTTCTCCCTCAGTAATCCCCTTTCCTCATACATGTTACTTCTGTACCACAGCTGACATGATACTTTTTAAGGAAAAAAAATGCTCTGTCCTCATTTTCCTTAATTATCAAAGAGGGGGGCACACTGAATCTGGGTCTGGGTTCTCCCATTCACATAAGAAAGGTGGTGAGTGAGGGTCTCAGATCTGAGAGTTGTGGAGGTGTCTGTTCTGGTAGCTCTTGGTCATGTCACCAGGTGGGAGCTCTCCCAAACTAGGTCCCCCAAATAGTCAAAGCACTGGAAAAAGTCTCTTATTTAATTCTCACTCCAAAAATTGATCTCGAGTTTTATGGCTTTACCAGTTGTCTGTGTGAGGCTGACCCCTATATTCCAGCTGGGCTCTGACCCCCTGTCTTGCAGGTATGCACCCAGAATCCCCATCCGAGTGTCTCAGGAATCCCACACTCCGCACGTTCATAGCAGGACTCCAGCTATTTGTTTCAGTTTGCTCCTCCCAGGAAATTTCACTCTTCTCTTTGCTCAGCCCAGACCACCTATGTCCTCTTCAAATCTTTAACTCTTTTTTTTCTCTCATACCTCAATCCATTTAAAACTCTGCTGACTCAAACTTTATTTACATTCACACACATATACACATGTGTCCCTATATTTTGTACATATATGCATATGTGTGTTATATGTATAGTATGTTTAAACATTTTTGTGTTAACCCACAACATTTATATAGAATAATGTGCAACTTAATAAATTAAAAGGAATGCTCTCTCATAACCACTCTCTGTGTCAGGGCATAAAATCTTGTCGACCACCCGAGAAACCTAGCATGCTCCTTGCCTCCCTGCTAGGAATAAACCTGACTTGTATGTGTATTTTTTTTTTAAGTTCATAAATATACAAACTTAACATATTTTATTGGTTTTCAGGTTTTAGAATAGACATAAAAACAAATACTTCATTATAGTTGCAGAACATAATGTACAAAATTTGTCAGTCTTGTCTATTCTTAGCCAAACGGTATATTTGTGTGAATTATCAAATGGCACCACCTCTGAAAGGCATTGCAGTAACTTTGCATTACCTATGTTGACAATGAACGAATGCCACCCTTGGAGTCGCTTGTTTCCTCTCCAAGCCCAGCCCTTTCCATCTCTTATATGCTGTCACCAAGTGACATCAAAGTTGATATGACTGTGTTTTAAGTTAAACTTATAGTGCTGTATTTCACTATGATATATTGTGTCTCAATCAAAACAGATGGCCTCAATTCTTATAGTCTGTGACCTTTTTATTACTTAAGAATAAATAATTATTCAAAAAGGAAAGAATATAAAAATGAAATTTTGCCCTGTTTTCTCTTTGTAGGTCACGTCAGGAAAGAATCAGCTAGAAAAAAACTTGGAGGAGTTTAAGCAGAGGTTCTGCAGAACTGAGCAGGCGTTACAGGCGAGTCAGATCAAGGAAGATGAGCTGCAGAGGAGCAGCGAGGTGCGTGCGGAGTGGAGATGAGTATTGCCAACTCCGTCCGGGACGGAGTGGGAGGGTTAAAGAGAATTTCTGCACTGGCTTTCAGTAGTTTATCATGACTGTAAATCATTTTCTTTTTTATTTGCTAGAAGTAAGTATTACAGTGTCTTATTATTATTATTATTTTTGTCAATAACCTGTGACATAGAACATAAGTGCTTCTTTCTCCACTTTCCATTCCCATGTAATTCCTAATATACATCTAGCAGTTATAGGAAAACATGACTTAATATTAAGAACATGTACTACTTCTTTCTGAGATTGTTCTAGATCACCTGGAGATGGAAGGATGGAAGAAAGGAAGATCTTTCTTTAAAACCTTATGGAAAGTCATAGATTTAAACAAATAAGAGTAGTGACAGATGAAGACTTTCTAGATTTAACATTCTTATAAAAAAGCAAGTAATTATAAATTACACCGACTTCAGAAGTCAATACTAACCTTAGTGTTGAGCATTGCAGGTGTGGTTTAAAATGTCTTTAGAGGTTCATGTTTATTATACAAAATGTTGGATGAAGTTTCCCCTATGGTATGTATACAAGAGTACCCTGAGTTGCCTTCTACCGATAGAATTTTACCGGTACTTACTTTAATTTGGCTTCTCTCTGATTATTTGGTGGCCTGGGTTTATTTTAAAGGATTTAATTAAGAACCACTTAGGGACAGTTTATAGACTGAAACAACTTGGATACAGCCATAAATCAGCGCTGTAATTTTACGAAGTAGAGCAAAACAGTAGATGTTTTCTTTTCCACCAAATGTCACAAGAAAGAATTTTTTCCACTTACTGTTTAAATATTTTGCAATCATTCTTTAGACAGTAAAGATTTTTTTTTTAATGCTGCACAAAAATGTTACTTGTCCAGATGAAGAAAGTCTAAATGTATTTATCCCCACGGTTTTGAAGAGCGATCGTGATGATAAAATCAGAACATCTGTCCATAGCAAAGAGGCGACTGGTAAAGTGGCCGGCCTCAGAGGGGTAATGCTGGTGGAGACAGGAATTTTCAGCTACAGCCACCCAAATGGAAGAAAACTTCCTGTCAAATGATGGTTTTATCAGCGAACATTTTCAAATGGAAATGTTTGTTTCAGCAAAACAAATGTTTGCCTTTTGGCCAGTGGGGACCAACCAACAGATGCTTCTGCTAACATTTCCACAGGCTGACTGGCACCGAGATCTTCCCTCTGTGAGCCTCCCCTTTCAGCCAGGAACTCTCTCCCACGACTCCACTGGCTGCCTGGTGCAAACATTTTGTAGAAGCAATCGTTTGATTAAGAGGGTCCAAACCTGTTTGCTTGGCCATGGCACAACAGAGGGCTGGACATTGTCTTGCAGGTGTTTCTGAAGACTTGTGTATCTGCACAGGGTTTGGTCTGTCAGCCATAGAGCTGTCCGCCCAGAACTCTAGCCAGCACTGATAACAAATGCCTATCATATCGCACTATAGTACATTGACATCTGTGTCCAGCGAGGGTAGTCATGTAGAAGTGTCTAGCACAGGGCCAAGGAATTAGTATTTGTCTTCATTTGTGTGTGTGTGTGTGTGTGTGTGTGTTCTTTTGAGGGTATCAAGACGTCAAAGGGTTTAGCTGGCTCTTGTATTTTGAATTGGTATTCATATCAGAAAAGTGAATTACCCAGTTAGAGTGGTGGTATAACTGAGTGGTGAAATGTTTCTGGCTTTAGAGTAAGTGGAAACTAAAATCACATCACTTTTCTGCCACTGTCCTGCTGTGCGAGCTTAGAACAATGACTTACCCTGAGCCTGACTTTGCTTATATGCATATAGGGATTAATATCTTTCCCTTTCAAAGCTGTGTTAATGATTAAAGTAAATGTTACATGTAAAGTGCATAGGCCAGTGCCCAGCACTAAGTGCTCAGTACATTACTGCAGTCCACCTGCTCATTGCTTTGGTCTTTACAACTGTCAATGACCTTTTGATGTCTCCAGTGTGTGCTGTCACCAGAGGTGCAAAAAAATGATAAACAGGGGAGAGTGCATTTCAGATTTTTCACATTGAGAATTTTTGCATTGAATTGTAGATAAGTACAAACAAGTTCAGCACACATACAGATTTTGGATGCTGAAATGGGACAGTTGTACTGAAATTTTCTTTGTCCAAATTTACTAAACTAACACGCTGCTCATGATGAGAAGTTATCAGCACTAGGACATGATTTAATGGCCAGTCGAGGAGAAAGTTAGCACTTAGTATCAAAGTGGATGGAGGGTTTTTATAAGCCGCCCAGCCCCACAGTCTTGGGATTAGCACTGATTGACAGCCAGACAAGGGAACGCTTGCACGGGGCCTTGCTGAGTGTGCGATCTGTGTCACACCAGGTTCTCTAAGGAGCTTATTCTGGCAGCCAAGAAGGATGAGATGGAAGGGAGAAAAACACATTCTTTGCCTTCATTCCTTATCGCCACATGGACTTTGTCCCCGCAGGGGTCGTATTAAGCTCCGTTCATGGACGGCATCATGAAATGCCGCACAGAGACTGAAATTTGTCTGGCTGTGGAGACAGTACTTGTCTTGCTGCTCCCAAACCGAGGTCGATCTGGGTGGAACTGCTTGCTAAGCTCTAATCCTGGCTTGTGGTTAGAAGGATTTTGTTGTGTTTTTCTAGACTAGTGCCCAGTTTAGCAGATCATGTGAAGATGCAAAAGATGCCTAGGAGAATACATCCTTGTCTGCTTAACTTGTTGACAATGAGCTACCCAATCAAGTCTTAAGTGGCTGTAGCCTCACCGAAAACTAATTGCTGATGGATGGCAGCCTACAGATCTGTCTTTAGATGTTCATTTTCTAAATTCTGGCCTTTTTAAAATTCTTGGGGTGGTCATAGCTATAACATTATAAGCCTGCTGGGTCCCAGGATTGGCTGAACATTTCTTTGTTAGGAACAAATATTTATAGAGCTAATGCCAGAACAGAGAAAGATGTATTAATCTTTCCATTGAGTTTCCTATTCATTTAAATGTCCTTAGTTATGGACTGAGATGGACAGAGACCAACAGACATATATAAACCTAAGTTGGCCCCCTTTGCCTGGATCCCTCCCTCCTCGTCTCCTTTTTACCTTCCTCCTATTGGGATGCACCCAGCTTTGCACCCAGTGTCTTTTCAGCTTTCTTGTCCCACCTCCAGATGTAGATGCCATTTGATTTGATCAGTTTTTTAGGATAAAAAATATTTTATAAGTTGCAAAATAAAAATGCTAAATCAACCTAGGTGGTTAAGTTCTTGTCACCCTTTGATGGTGAACTCATTGAGCTGATCTTCGCATTGATCCTGCAGATCTGGCTGCTGTTAAATTTGGGGAAGAGATACTAATAATTACGTTCTATTACCCTTGTTAAAGTGCTCTAAGTCATTTTTCTCTTCACATCTGTGCTCTGCTTTGGTGATTATTCTGAGCCTGGAGAGTAAACAAGCGAGTAGAGTTTCTGTCGTTTCATGATGCTGGTTTAAGTCAGTCACATCGTTGCAACTTACTGGTCATTCTTTGCAGAATTTATCGCTGACTGATATGAACATGAACCTCTCAGTGTCGAGGTTCTGCTGGAGCAGCCCTTTAGCTCTGATGGATTTCTTAATTTGATAGCGATAGCTTGTCAGTTCAGCTCATGGAAGGGAGGCAGGATGAGGACAAAGGAGCCAGAGGACTGTAGCTACAACAAGGCTCTGTCTTATTTCGATGATGAAATGAACATATATACATGAACACAGCAGGTGCCAGCAAGATTTCAAGTACTTTCTGCTAGCCAGATTCTCCCTCTTCTTGAATTTGGCTTTGCTACACGGGTACCCATCTGCTGGTAGTAACCAGACTGATAATTGAGGGCAGCCTTCCAGCACGTCAGTGCCAGGGCCATCTGTTTTCTAACGGTGCAGTAGGGTTTTAGAGGATGGCTCTTAATTGTTTCTTTAAGATTCAAAATTTTTCTCCTCTGTTTCTCAGAGGGGTATTTTTGAAGTGTGGTTTAAAATAAAAAAGATAGCTTTATGAAATTCCTCTCCTGCCCCCATGGATGCGAGGCACTTGGTTCTGTGAGTTTGTGATGATACGTTCCAATTCCTTGAGGTCCAGAGGGTGGCATACCATATAGGTTGAGATACTCATCAGCTATAAAGTCATTGAAGGTTGAAAAACAGGTTGAGGAATATGAAAAGAAGATTTATATTTATTATGCAAGGGTTGCGTGGTTAATAAACAGTAGGGTTTTTATTTTGGCATATAAATATTGGTTGAAGTTTCAGAAAAATACGAAGGTCTCCCTAGTAATAGAATGGAAATGCATGTGCTTCAGTGCTACTTTTTGCACGTGGATGCGTGGATACTTCATTTCATCAGGTACTCAAAGAACCTGTTTTCACTGTGAAAGCTCACATTCCCCGATCGCCAGTGACTTCTTACCTGCGCTCCAGCCCTTTGATTTCCCATGCTGTGCTTTTGTATTTAGCACTTCTGGTATGTATCAAGTGATTGGTGTTACATCTGCCCCCTCTGGGGATATCTGACCTGAAGGCAGAGACTCTGTCTTCTTTATATTTGCATCTTTCATAATGCCCATTTCAGCACCTTGTCACATGGCACATTTTCTTAATAAACATTTATTAAAGCTAATCTTGCTCACACAGTTATGCTTATAACTGTGAACCTTAAGAGAGTTTTACAATGAAAAGTAAGACATTGTTGTGTGAATTTATTTTGGTTCATTAGCACATCAGATCTTTGTAAAGATGTATTTGATTTTTCAGGTGTGATAGGAACTTGGAGCTTGTGTCTTTGAGGGTCTTGTAAATAGGATTTCTCTTTTGAGCTACCTCTTTAACAAGCAGAAGGTTCAAAGAAATACATTTCTTAAGGAAAAAGATTATCTTCAGTTTGGGGTTTTGTCCTTTCGTTTTGACGTGTGTTCGTAAAATTAGATTGAAGTAAGAATGTCTTAACTTCATTCAGAAGTCAAAGAAAAGTGTGATTCCTCTGGTGAGATAAACAGTTCCTTTAGGGACGCTTACTAAGGCAGAAGTCACCCTTGCTGAAGCATTGGCTTTGACTATGACCATTACTGTGTGCTTTAGGGACTGAAGAAGGAAAACGGCCTCCTGAAGAGTCAGTGTGAGCAAAGAGCCCGGGCCGTGTGCCACCTGGAGGAGGAACTGACGAGGGCCAAGCAGGGCTGGAGTCAGAGCCAGGCTTTGGCCGAAGAAATGAAGGGTAAGAAAACTTGGTGCTCAGTGTTACTTCTGTTAAGCAGTGGCCCCACAAGGGAGGATGGATGGCACTGGAACCTTCTTTGAGTGGTTCTCTCTGTTCCTTCAGGAGGATGTCTGATGTGAAGACAGTTTTCCCTCTTCCACTTTTTCAGAGTGATAGTTGGACTTTTTTATTGGAACACATTGAGCCCAAACTGCTCAGCACTTTGAAACCAGAAGGATAAATATTTTCCACACAGAAAATAAATAGTCAGTGCTGTCTGGCCCCAAAGTGCCAGTTTGTATCTCAAGAGTGTTTGTTAGTTACATCTAGACAGCTCATCTCACTTATTGCCATTTCTCTTATTATGGAAAAACCCTATATTAAATGCATGTTTCCCCAGCCCTTAATGACCATTGGTTTTTGATGACTGATTTTATTTCCTTTTTTCTGTATAGCCATAGAATTATGCTATACTCACTAAATGAACCCACCGTTGGGTTTTCCATTCATCTGTATGTACCATATGTCCTTTCCTTACATTTTCTTTCTTACCTGGGGTGTATTTGCACATCTCGGGTTTCTTTTAACCTGACCTGTCGAATGTGTGTCACACTTTCCGTGACTGTTTTCTTTTTCAAATTCCAATCCCCTCCAAACAGCTTTCAGTTTTTCCATGGCAGTTGGTGAACATGTCAGTCTTCAGCTTTCTTGAAAGAAAACTTTAGGAGAAGGAAGGACTGGGGCCTTTTTTAATATTGGTCACCAGTGCCATTGCTGAAGGTCCTGCCAAGCAAAGTGGATTCGTAGCCCTTGCTGTACTGTCTCCTTCGACTCCCAGTAGGTAGATCGAGATTAGCAGGTTAAAATAGGAATTATTTTCCATTTGGTGTAACATTTGAGTTTATGCTACATGCTGCCTTTATCATCTGTTGAGATTCTTAATTTTTATTTTCCCCCAAATTTACTTGAAGAATATGAAGCCTTCTCATCACTATGGAATGAAAGCATTCTGGTTATTTCCAACTGGCCAGTGGGTAGAGGTGAGCTAGTAGGCAGAGAACAAGGTGGTGTAGAGCTTGAAAAACCTTGCAGGTGACTCTCCTACTTATAGATACTCTCTGGTTTTGAGGGGCTGGGATGCAGGGGACATTGTCCCTCGATAATATTCACACACAGGCCTCAAGAGTTACTGATAGATAGCATCACATACTCTTTTATATCAAGCTCAGTCCTACGGATTGTTGACCAGAATGGTGGAGGAGTTATTTACTTTTCTAGGAAACCAGAATTACTCTAACCAGTGGGATATTTCCATTTCAAGGCTGCTCTTCTCACAGTTTTCTCTTTGTGAATATGTGTTTCAAAAGGGGAAGAATACCTGTACATGTAACACCTACAAAGAAAAAGAAAGCTGAAGTGTTTAGGAAAAGAATCCCTTGCTATTTGATACAACACCACATTAAGCTGTTTAGAAAGAAGATGAACACCTGTATGACAATCCTTAAAAGGACCATTTTCTCATTGTCTCTGTAAAAGTTTAGGTAATTATCTAATGTTATCGACTTTCTGGGAGGTACCAGGCAATAATACTAATTATTACAGGGCTTGAGAAGCTTTGTTTGTTTGTTTTTAAGAGTTAGGGTTCTTATAGAATAAATATTTATTTAAAGCATGACAATAAAAAACTTTTTTTTTTTTCAATAGCTAAGCATACCTCTCAGGAAACCAGGTTAAGAGATCTTCAAGAAAAAAATCAGCAAGAGAATTCCTTGACTTTAGAGAAATTGAAGCTTGCCTTGGCTGATCTGGGAAAGCAGAGAGATTGTTCACAAGATCTTTTGAAGAAAAGGGAACATCACATTGAACAACTGAATGATAAGTTAAGCAAAACAGAGAGAGAGTCCAAAACTTTACTGAGTGCTTTAGAATTAAAAAAGAAAGAATATGAAGAATTGAGAGAAGAAAAAACTCTGTTTTCTCGTTGGAACAGTGAAAAAGAACAACTTTTAAATCAGATGGAATCAGAAAAGGAAAGCTTGCAAGGTAAAATAAATCACTTGGAAACTTGTCTTAAGACACAACAAATAAAAAGTCATGAATACAGTGAGAAAGTAAGAACACTGGACATGGAAAGAGAAAATCTAAATGTCGAGATCAGAAACCTTCACAATGTGATAGACAGCAAGACTGTGGAGGCAGAGACACAGAAACAAGCTTATGTAGACTTACAACAGAAAGCCGAGCTCTCGGATCAGAAACATAAGAAGGAAATAGAAAACATGTGTTTGAAAATTTCCCAGCTTACTGAGCAAGTTGGAGATCTAGAACACAAGCTTCACTTACTATCAAGTAAAATAATGGACAAAGACCAGCGTTACCAAGACTTGCATGTTGAGAATGAGAGCCTCAGGGATGTGCTAAAATCCAAAGATTCTTCTCTGGTGACAAATGAAGCACATCACAGAAGTGTTGTGGCTTTTGAACAGCAGCCTGCAGTGAATAATTCCTTTGCAAGTATAATTGGAGAGCAAGGAAGCATGCCTTCAGAATGGAGCAAATGCCATTTAGAAGCAGACCAAACTCAAAAAAATTCAACCATCTTACAAAGTAGGGTTGTTTCTCTTGAGTCTTCATTAGATTCTCAAAAGCAGATGAACTCAGATCTGCAAAGGCAGTGTGAAGAGTTGGTACAAGTCAGAGGAGAAATAGAAGAAAATCTCATCAAAGCAGAACAACAGATGCATCAAAGTTTTGTAGCTGAAACAAGTCAATGCATTAGTAAGTTACAAGAAGACACTTCTGTTCATCAGAATGTTGTTGCTGAAACTTTAGTTGCCCTGGAGCACAAGGAAAGAGAATTCCAACTTTTGAATGAAAAATTAGAAACTGAGCAAGCAGAGATTCAAGAATTAAAAAAGAACAACCATTTACTTCAGGAATCTCTAAAGGAGCTACAACTTCTGTCTGAAACTCTGAGCTTGGAGAAAAAGGAAATGAACTCCATCATTTCTCAACATAAAAAGGAAATTGAAGAGCTGACCCGAGAGAATGGGACTCTCAAGGAAATTAATGCAACCTTAAATCAAGAGAAGATTAACTTACTCCAAAAATGTGAGAGTCTTTCTAGCTGCATAAATGAAAGAGACAAAAGCATGTCAGAGTTATCTAATCGGTACAAGCAAGAAAGATTTGCTTTACTACAAAGATGCGAAGAAACAAGAAACACATTTGAGGATCTTGGTGAAAAATATAAAGCAGCGCAAGAAAAGAATTCTAAATTAGAATGCTTGCTAAATGAATGTGCTGATGTTTGTGAAAATAGAAAAAAGGAACTGGAACAGCTAAAAGAAACATTTGCAAAGGAGCACCAAGCAGTTGTCACAAAATTAGCTTTAGCTGAAGAAAGAAACCAGAATCTAATATTAGAGTTGGAGGCAGTGCAGCAAGATCTGAGATCTGAGATCACAGACATGCACAACAATTCCAAGAGCGAGGCTGACAGTTTAAAGCAAGAAATCATGACTTTAAAGGAAGAACAAAGTCAGATGCAGAAGGACTTTAGTGCCTTATCACAAGAGAATGAGCACCTGATGACACTGATGAAGACTGTACATCAGCATCAAACTCTAGAATTGGAACCAATTAGGGACTCTGTGAATGAAAGAGAGAGTGAGATATGTAAGTGTGATGTTCAACTCCCAGTAGAGCTTGAAGCTAAAGATACTTCTCTGGACAGTTATAATGCACAACTGGCACAATTAGAAGCAAAGGTAAGAAATATGGAATTAAAACTTCAGGAAAGTGAGACACAGAAGGAGTACCTGCAGCATGAATTACAGACCATCAGAAGCAGAGTGGAAGCTGGAAATTTGCAGCAAGACACTCAGTCACAAGAAAGTAGGGACCCTAAAGACTCTGAAATAGACACAAAAGAAAAGTATACTTCCGTGCTTCATGAGTTGTCAGCGAGTCAAAATGATAATGCGAATCTACAGTGCTCTCTGCAAACAGCAGTGAGCAAGCTGAATGAATTAGAGAAAATGTGTGAAATACTGCAGGTCGAAAAGTTTGGACTCATGTCTGAGCTGAATGATTCAAGATCACAATGTATCACAGCAACTAGTAAAATGGCTGAAGAGGTAGAGAAATTAGTCAGTGAAGTTAAAATATTGAATGATGAAAATGGTCTTCTCCAAGGTGAGTTAGTGAAAGAAATGCCAGAAGGTGAATTTGGTGGAAAACAAAATGAGCAGAAGTCTGCACCCTTAAATCCTTTGGATGACAGTAATTGCTATGACTATTTGACATTGTCAAATAAAGAAGTTCAAAGGCACTTTGCAGAATTGCAGGAGAAATTCTCATCTTTGCAAAGCAAACACAAGATTTTACATGATCAGCACTGTCAAATGAGCTCTAAGATGTCAGATTTACAGTCCTATGTCGACACATTAAAGGCTGAAAATTCAGTCTTGTCAGTGAGTCTGAGAAACTTTCAAGGGGACTTGGTAAAGGAGGCGGTGCCGGGACCCGAGGAGGAACATTTTCTGTCCTTGTCATTCTCTGGTGTGACTGACAGCCCTGGTCTTACAAGTTTGGGAGAGTCCTCTTTTTACAAAGATCTTCTTTTAGAACAGACAGGAGAAACATCTCTTTTTAACAACATAGAAGGGATTGTTTCAGCAAACCAGTCTCACATAGAGGAAGTATCTTGCGGAAGTCTGGAGGAAGGGACTCTGACCAAGGAAGCAATGTCCTCCCCAGTGGGGAGGGTCGAGGAACCCGAGACCATCTGTCAGATGTACCTGCAGTCCCTTAAGAAGCTAGAAGAGAAAATCGAGAATCAAGAGATGATGAAAAATAAGGAAATTGAAGAGCTCAAACAGTTACTAAGCTCTGAGAGGAAAGAGCTCGACCGTCTTAGGAAGCAGTATTTGTCAGAAAATGAGCAGTGGCAGCAGAAGCTGACAAGCGTGACTGTGGAGATGGAGTCCAAATTGGCGGCAGAGAAGAAACAGACAGAACACCTGTCACTTGAGCTCGAAGTAGCGCGACTCCAGTTACAAGGTCTGGACCTGAGTTCTCGGTCTCTGCTCGGCACTGACGTAGAGGATGTAAGTACCTGGCATGACTTACATGCTATTTCCCTGATTACATGCCCAGTAGGCACGCAGTGTTTGTGGAACTGAGCTCTCCACTAAATCCCACTTAAAATATTTTTAAAGTCCAAGGACTTAAGAGCAAAATACACCAAACAGTTTTTTAAAACAAGCCAGAACATTAGAACAATGATTAAGCCTTATGGGAGAGGGTGAATTTATACAGTGATTACGTTGAGCCACTATTATATGGGAAATTACTAATGATTTTTTTCAAGTCTCCTGGAGAAAATTCTTATCATGGAGTCAGTCTTCTTCAGGATATGCATGTGTCTTCACTCTGTGAGTTAATAAAACACACTTAAACATTAAATAAGAGCTTGTGAATGGTAATGCCATGTGACTGTTAACCTCTTTTGCCCTTTTCAGATGACTTTAAATGTTACAGAGCTATAGTTATAAAACTAAATGTAGGAGTTCATTGCATATTATGGAATAATTTTCTAACAATTTGCTCTGATAACAAATCTATGATTGGGTATCAGTTGTTTAAAGAGACCTTTTTTAATTGAATACAAAATCATTTCATTACTTACAACTGTCCTTTCTAGTCTTCCAGGGACACTAATAATGCTGTAAAGTCAGAGTCTCCCTTGATTCCCTGTCTGCCTCTCTACTGTAGGGAGGGCAGGCGTGAGGTGGCAGCAGGCAGGTGAGGTCAGACATGTGATTTATCAAGAATTAGTGCCTGCTCTGTGATTAAGTCCTTAGGCTGGGAATCTGGTCATGAAGCCTTTTATTGAAGACAATTATAAATGCTAAAAATGGAAGCTGAAAATTTCATGTGGAATTTGTTACTCTCTTATTTGATAACAAAAGGAAATACTATATTTAAGCTACCTAGAATATTCTTAGCAAGAAAAAACAAAGAAATTTAAATATGTTGTGATTTAGATGGTGAAATGACTGAAGGGTTTTTCTTCTTGATAAATATCTTACCCAGTTAGTGCCTTGGAGAATTGGGTAAGCCCATGAAGAACATTTACTGAATATTTAATTATGTTGACAATTTGGATGGAGAGAGGAGAATGTGGTGGGAAACATGCCATTTGAAGAGATGTATGTGTCTAGCAGAGGCTAGATGCCAATTTCTATCAAGTAATCTGATTTATTCTATTTTGATTCTTCTTTAAAAAAATGCATTCTCATAATTCATCTATAGGCTATTCGGAATGGAAACGATAGCTGCGATATAAAAGAATCAGAAACTGAAGATGGAACATCAGTGCATGACATTCATCAGATCTGTGAAGAAGATGGACAGCAGGATCTCGGTCTAAAGACAGAGAAAGTAACTGAGATGGGTGCAGTCACACTGACAGATTGGTCCAGGGAGCGGTCACCAGAAACCAGTTACAAGACTGTAGTGGAAGATAAAACCCAGGGCTGTTCAGAACACATTTCCAAACTGTCACTTTCTGGTCCTAATGCCTTGGTACCTGTGGGTTTTCTGGAGAACCAGGTAACCATTCAGAATCTCCAACTGCAGGTAGAGGAGACATCAAATGAGAATTTGAGATTATGTCATGTCATAGAGGAATGTGACCAAAAAGTTGAAAGTTTGTTAAATGAAATAAAAGGGTTAGACTCAAAACTTGATTTGCAGAAAGTACAACTAACTACCAAGACTGAAGCATGTTTAGAATTGGAAAAAATAGTTGAGGAACTTAAGAAAGAAAAATCAAATTTACGTGAGGAATTGGAATCCTTTTCTTGTGACAACCAGGAGTTACACCAGAGAAGAGAAGGTTCAGAAGACCTCGATTCTAATTTAAAAGTGGGCACAGATGAATTGTCACATCAGGTTATTGAAGATAAAATATCCGAGATGAACGACAAGTGGAGAGAGAGATTGCTTGATGTGGAGAATGAACTGAAGAGGATCGAGGCTGAGAAAGGTAGCATCGAGCATCGTGCCCTTTCCGTGGAAGCTGACTTAGAGGGAGTCCAAGCAGAGAAGCTATATTTGGAAAGAGATGTTGAAAATAAGCAGAAAGTTATCACCTGTCTTCAGGAAGAACTCTCTGTGGTCATAAATGAGAGAAACCAGCTTCATGGAGAATTAGATACTTTGTCAAAAGATAGGAAAGAGCTGGATCTGATGTCTGAAAAGATGAAGGAAAAGATACAAGAGCTCAAATCTCATCAAGGTGAATGCCTACATCACATAAACATAGGAGCTGAGGTAGAGGACAAAATGCAGCTCCTTCAGACCCTGTCTTCAGAGGTCAGCAAGGTGATAAAAGATAAAGCTTATCTCCAGGAGCAGCTGCAGAATTTGGAAAAGGACTCACAGGCACTGTCTTTGGAAAAAAGTGAGCTGGAAGACCAAACCAGACAACTGAATAAAGAGAAAACATCACTCGTGAGGGAATCTGAAAGCTTGCAGAGCAAACTGAGTGAACTGGAACATGAAAAGTTGGACATTGCCAAGGCCTTGGAGGCTGCGCTCATGGAGAAGGGGGAGGTTGCAGTGAGGCTGAGCTCAACCCAGGAGGAACTGCACCAGCTGAGGAAAGGCATTGAGAAGCTGAGGGTCCGTGTTGAGGCTGACGAAAAGAAGCAGCTCCACGTCTTACAGAAACTGAAAGAAAGTGAGCGTAGGAATGACTCGCTTCAGGATAAAGTTGAGAACCTTGAAAGGGAATTGCAGATGTCAGAAGAAAACCAAGAGCTGGTGATTCTTGATGCCGAGAATGCCAAAGCAGAGGTGGAAACCCTCAAAACACAAGCAGAACTGGTGACTGAAAGCCTGAAAGCTTTAGAACTGGACCTCGTCGCAGTGAGGTCTGAAAAAGACAATTTGACAAAACGGCTCCAAGAAAAACAAGGTCAAGTGTCTGAATTAGACACATTACTCTCTTCATTTAAAAACCTATTAGAAGAAAAGGAGCAAGAAAAAATACAGATGCAGGAAGCATCTAGAGCTGCCATGGAGATGCTCCAAACACAATTGAAAGAGCTAAATGAGGAAGTAGCAGCCTTGTGTAATGACCAAGAAACCTGGAAGGTCCAAGAACAGAGTCTGGACCCCCCCGTGCAGCAAGTGCATCAGCTGAGAAGTAGCATCGAAAAGCTGAAAGTCGACCTAGAAGCCAATGAAAAGAAGCAGCTGCATGTCTTAGGAAAACTGAAGGAAAGTGAGCATGATGCAGTTGTGCTTAAGGATAGAGTTGAGAACCTTGAAAGAGATCTAGAGATATCGGGAAAAAACCAAGAGCATGTGATTCTTGAGGCCAAGAGTTCCAAAGCAGAGGTAGAGACCCTAAAAGCACAAATAGAGGAGAATGCCCAAAATCTGAGCAAATTGGAATTAGATCTTGTCAAGATCAGATCAGAAAAAGAAAATCTGACAAAAGAATTACAAAATGCACAAGGACGAGTATCTGAATTAGAAATATTAAATTCTTCATTTGAAAGTCTATTGCAAGAAAAAGAAGTGGAAAAAGTACAGATGAAAGAAGACGCTAAAACTGCAGTGGAGGTGCTTCAAACGCAATTAAAAGAGCTAAATGAGAAGGTAGCAGCCTGTAAGGCCAAAGAACAGGCTCTGAGACACCAGGTGGACTCCCTGCAGCATGAGAAGGCTCAGTTGCTACAAGGCCTTGAGGAGGCAAAAAATAATCACATTATTTTGCAATCTTCTGTGAGTGGCCTCATTCAAGAAGCAGAAGATAGCAAACAGAAACTAGAGAAGAAGGATGAAGAAATCAGTGTGCTAAAAATGCGAATTCAAGAGCAAGAGCAGCTCTTCTCTAAACTGTCCCAGCTGGAAGGAGAGCAGCAACTTTGGAAGAAGCAGAAAGTAGAATTGGAGCACCTAGCAGTGGAATTGGAGCAGAAGGTTCAGGAGCTGCAATCCCGGAACAGCACTTTGCAGGATACCTCAGAAGCTCTGCAGAAGTCTTGCAGGAATCTGGAGGAAGAGCTTGAATTGACAAAAATGGAAAAAATGTCCTTTGTTGAAAAAGTAAGTGGCTTGGTCTATTTATATTTGAATAGACAGTCATGAGGGAGGATAACCACTGAGTGAAGTGTATTTCCTTCAGGTCAGCATTTGCATATTGGACTGAACTTTGTAAAGGCTTTAAGTTTGTGGGGTTTTGAACTGGGGACGTAGAGTTGGCTCCAGCAGTAGTAAGTTCTCTTTCTTTGCTCTGACACACATTTGCATGGGACACATCCATGGATCGGCCCAGGTTTTCACTGTGGCACCTGGACATAGAAGCTTTGAGTTATGCACAGTTCCTGATTCTAATTAAATCCTTTTTTTTTTTTTTTTTTTTTACAGTTCATTAGAACAGTAGCTTTCTCATATCTGCTGCTCTAGAGAGTGTAACAAATATAAGTTAGGATCAGAAGGGATCTCCTTTGCCCCTGCCCTGCCTTTTTTGCCTTTAGAAGGAAGACTTGTTAAAGATGCTGATGTGATAGTACCAATAGAACCTCATGGCTTCCAGGGTGTGTCCAGGGGATTTTTGCTTGCGGCTCCCTCCTTTGTACCTTCTCTTTTGTGCAGTCTCCTATTTTGTTAGCTGATGACAGAAGAGAAGATCTGCTATGATAAAGCTCAATTATTACAGAAAAATGAAGTTTTTGTCCTATATGCTTCCTGATCTAGGAAAGTAATTCCTTCAAATTACATTTTTTACTGGATAAATATTAAAAAGGGAGTGTCCAGAAAATGCAGTCAATCAAAACTATGTGACTACTAACAGTCACAAGTTTTTGTATGGCTTGCAAGAGCTGGCAGTTATGGTAGAGATGATAAGACAAACTCTGCCAGGCTGTTTCAACTTCAAGGGGCAAATGCAAACAATAGCTTTTCCTGGTTTTAACTAATCATTGGCATGTCTCTTTCAGATTAGCATGGCACTGGGGGATTAGCAGAGATTCAAGAGCTGATAAAAAGCTAAGACACTACCTCATACAATACTCTCTGATGTTCAAGTTTAATACAAATTAATGCCTTTATGAAGGATTTTAAGACTTAGTAATATTATCTTTCCTTGTCATTCCTTTCCCTATTGCTGTCTTTCAGTAAATCTTTGCTGAGAAGAAAAGGTAAGCTTCCCAGTTGGTTCTGAGAATATTAGAGTGGATTAGTAAAGAGAGGATTAGCCAAGTTCCATTTTATTATTGAAGGCTCGAGTGAATGTCATGAATACATTGAATCAGACTGATTAATTTGATCACAACAGACAGCCAAAAGCACATCCTAACGAAGATGAAATTTCAGGTAAACACCATGGCTTTGAAGGAAGCTGAGCTGCAGAGGGAAATGCACGCGATGGAACAGAAAACGACAGAGTTGAAAGAACTTAGTGGGGAGAAAAATAGGCTAAATGAAGAACTGAATTTGATGTCGGAAGAAATAATGAGCAGCAAAGTAAGTTTCTCTGTGACCAATTCATTACACTGTCAATTCAGTGTGCACTCTCCTTTTTGTAAGACCTTCCTGTAATGTATCGAACTGTTTTTAGCTTATAAAAAAGGTAATCCCATGCTTATGTCACATCAGACTTGGAGTTACCTTTACTATCCAGCACTGTCATGAGCCCAGAAGGAGTCCTGAGGAGCCTCTGCACACAGGAAAATAACCTGTCACACAGCCTAAATATTTTTTTTGTAGAAGACAAC